GAAAAAATTTTTACTCAGTATGATTATATCTCAGTTTCTTACCTGGAAAAGATGGATAATAGTGAACTATCCCCCTTAAGAGCTATAATGATTAAATGCTTTATATTTGAAAGGTACACATTAAGTATTAAAAGAGACAATTAAAAAAAAAACCTGAATATGATTGATTATAAATGGCTTTTTAAAAAAGATTTACTTATTTATGTATTTTATGTATAAAGGTATTCTGTCTGTATGTATAGTTACATACCAGAAGACAGTACCAGATCCCATGTTATAGATGGCCGTTATAGATGGCTGTGAACTACCAGTGGGTACTAAGAACTGAATGAAGGATGTCTTACCTTGATCATTCATACTATCCATAATTGTCATCAGTTTCTTTAGTCTTGCCATTGACTCCTGTTCATTTCCTTTGCTCATAAAATCTGTTCCAAAACCTGGAATCATCCCCTAGAACAGATTTAAACATAGTCATCAATGACAATATTGTTCAAAATGTCAGTATTTAAATACTAGCTTTAAAACTAATTCTGTTTTTTTTTTTTTCCTTCGAGACAGGGTTTCTCTGTAGGTTTGGAGACTGTCCTGGAACTCTCTTTGAAGACCAGGCTGGCCTCAAACTCATTAATGGTACTCCTGCCTCAGTGCTAGGATTATAGGTGTATGTCTAAATACCCAGTGTCTTGGCATTCTCCATTTTGATAAGTATGAGAATCAATATTACTATTTTATACTATTATTATTATTATTATTATTATTATTATTATTACTCTGCCTCCCGAAACTAATTCTTATAAGATCCATTTTACCCAAATTACTATTATTATTATTATTATTATTATTATTTATTACTCTGCCTCCCGAAACTAATTCTTATAAGATCCATTTTACCCAAATGATTTATGCAAGTATAAATGTTCTTAGAAATCATAATAAAAAAGACAAAGCACATTATATAAACTCATGAAAATGTCATAACAAAACCCACAATTTTAAACAATTGATACATGCTAATAAGGCAGGTGGCTCTTCTGTGATAGCCATGCCTACTGCATTGCAGTGCATTAAACTTGCTTTCTCTGTACAAATAAAATGAACACAACATATAAAGAAATTTTAGAAACATTTAAAGGTAACTAACCAAGATCTGACTGAATGGGCCCATTTTCATGATATTCTGAAACTGTTCATACATGTCTCGCAATGTAAACTGACCTGAAATGCAATATAAATAATTCAGATATAGCAGAAAATGTACATTTCCATTCAATAAAACTAGTATTTTCCTTAATCATGAATTTATCTTGAAGTGTGTAATCCAATCAATAAACACTCACTGCACAGTTACTGTGTGGAAGACGGGATGAAAGCTGTAAGGAGTAACAAGCACACGGACAGATTGTATCACAGAGAAGCTTTCTATCACAGCACATTAGACAGACACATGCAGATGAATAGATACGTAGGAACAAGGCTAACTATACCTACTAAAATGGCTACAATTAAAAGACTTGAACACAGCAAAAGCTAAAAATATAGAACATGTAAAATTCCCATGCATTATGGGCAAGAATATAAAACAGTGAAAATGATTTAGAAGATCTGAAATGCCAGGCTGGAGAGATTGCTCAGTGGTTAAGAGCACTGTCTGCTCTTCCAGAAGACCCAGGTTCAACTCTCAGCACCCACATAGCAGCTCATAACAGTCTACAACTCTAGTTCCAGGGGATCCAACACCCTCACACAGATAATCATACAAGTGCACATAAAATAAAAATAAATTTAAAAAAAGATTTGAAATGTCTTAATAGCTTAGCTATCCACAGTTAGGAAAATGGACAGACTGAGGACAAAACAGTACTCAAATAATGTCAGAAGTTTTGACACATGCCTTTAATCCCAGCAGAGGCAGCTGGATCCTGTGAGTTTGAGGATAGCCTGGTCTACACAGACAGTTTTAGGACAGCCAAGCTATATAGAGTCCTGGTATGGCAAAACTAGTGTTTCACCGATGATTATAAAAATATTTTGCTGGGGCTGGAGAGATGGCTCAGAGGTTAAGAGCACCGACTGCTCTTCCAGAGGTCCTGAGTTCAGTTCCCAGCAACCACATGGTGGCTCACAACCATCCGTTATGAGATCTGGTGCCCTCTTCTGGTGTGCAGATATACATGGAAGCAGAATGTTGTATACATAATAAATAAATAAATAAAATCTTTAAAAAAAAAAATTTGCTGATGGGCATGGTGGCTCACACCTGTATCTCTACACTCAGGAGGCTAAGGAGAGAAAATTCCAAGTTTATAGCCAGTCAGGACTACAAAGGAAGATTCTGCCTCAAAACCATAACTAAAGTATGTGGGCCGGCCAGTGAATGAGGTACTTGCCATGCAAACTGATGACCTGAGTTCAATCACTGGAAACCACAAAAAGGTAGAAGTAGGGAACTGATTTCAGTTGTTCTCTGATTTCTCTCTCTCTCTCTCTCTCATATATATATATATAATATGTATATTATATATATATATATGTATGTATGTGCCAAAGCATGTGTGTATCAAATACACACATCAAATACACACTAATAATGATAACAATAATAACAATAATAAACTAAGGGAGAAATCATGTTGTGTGAAATAAACTGATTGAGGGAAAAATGGACACAATACAGAATTTTGAAAATACCTGGGCTGGAGAGATGGTTCAATGACTAAGAGTACTTACTGTTCTGCTGTAACCATAAGCATTTAGATTCTAGCATTGGTTATTCATAAAGAAGTGAAACTAGCTAGATGGCTCAGTGGGTAGATTTTTGCCACACAAGCCTAACAAGCTGAGTTTGATCCCCAGAGCCCACATAAAGGTAGGAGAGAAGAGACTCCAGCAAGTTATCCTCTGAACTCCACACACATGCAAGACATGTTTTACTATACACACATTCATAAACATACACGCCAATATTTTGTAAAACAAAATAAGTGATCACTGAACAAGCAGAAAATCCATGCAACAGAATCAAGTGAAAACTTCAAAAAAGTAGGTAACATTGTCAAATATTAACAAGTGGAGAAGATGAAAATAATCATTAAGAAATTAAGTAGAGCTTGGTGACCTCAGAATAACCAAAATATAAGGAATAAAAACAAAAATGTACAGAGGGGGCTGGAGAGATGGCTCAGAGTTAAGAGCACTGACTGCTCTTCTAGAGGTCCTGAGTTCAATTCCCAGGAACCACATGGTAGATTATAACCATCTGTAATGAGATCTGGTGCCCTCTTCTGGCCTGCAGGCATGCATGCAGGCAGAATACTGTATACATAATAAATAAATAAATCTTGGTTTTGTTTGTTTGTTTGTTTTTCGAGACAGGGTTTCCCTGTGTAGCTTTGGAGCCTATCCTGGCACTGCTCTGGAGACCAGGCTGGCCTTGAACTCACAGAGATCCGCCTGCCTCTGCCTCCCGAGTGCTGGGATTAAAGGCATGCGCCACCAACACCCAGCAATAAATAAATCTTAAAAAAAAATGTACCAGAGATCTAAAGATTCAGAAGTCAGAGAATAGACAAACTACGTACACTATACAGAAACAGAACTAGGGCACTGCTTCAAGATAGAAGAAGGGCCTGGCATGGTGCACACCTTTAATCCTAGAACTCATGAGGCAGCAGCAGTGGATCTGAGCCCAGCCTAGCCTACATAACAAGTTCCAGGACAGTCAGGACCACATTGTGTCAGATACTGAGCAAGGTAGTATGAAAATGAAAGATGAAGAACACAGCTATGATCCTTACCTTCACCTCACACAGGGAAGATAAGCTAAATATTAAATGATTGTGATGAATGACAATTATAGAGTACAAAGGGACATGCATCAGAGGCTTCTAATTTAAGTCTAAGAATCAAGTAAGACATCAGAGGCGAGATCTAGTATATGAATTAAGTACTTATCCACGGGTAGTATAAAGAGAGGATGCATGTAATAGACAGAGGAACTAGCAAACGTGTGAGCAGCTTCCATTTGAGAAACTGAAAGCTCAGCATTGCTGGCACAGAACTGTAAACACAGCAGAGTCAAAAGCTAATGCAGAAGACAGGAACTAGATAATGGGACCATTTACAAGCACTCTAAGGACAATGGGAAGGTGGTGGAAGATTTTAGACTGATGGGGTCATAACTTAATTTCTGAAAACTCTAACTTCCCAAATAAAGAGATCAGCCAGGGCTTAGTGACACACACCTGTAACTCCATCATTCCAGAGGCTGAAGCAAGAGGATCTCAAGTTCAAGGATGGTTAGGTTGTGGTGGTTTGAATGACAACAGTTCCCACTGGATCATACATTTGAATGTTTGGTTCTCAGTTGGTATATTGACTGGGAATGATTAGAAGGTGTGGCCTTGTTGGAGAAGTATCACTGGAGTGGGCCTTGAGGTTCAAAAGCCCATGCCATTCCCAGTTTTGCTCTCTTTGCTTTGAACCTGTGAATCATATGTGAGCTCTCAGCTACTACTCCAACATCATGCCTGCCTGTGTGCTGCCATACTCCCTACTGTGATGACCACAAACTCACCACCTGCCTGTTGCCACGTTCCCTACCATGATGGTCATGGACTCACTCTCCAAATCTGGATGCAAGCCTCCAACGAAATATATTTTTATAAGCAACTGAGATATAAAATAGCATGGCTGCAGAACAGTTGACATTCTGGTCAAAAAACTGAGGGTATTCAAAAGGTAAAAGCACTACAACTAGAAAACAAATGGGGGAAACGGTAGACAGAGGTTAGGAAAAAAAAAAAAAAAAGGCTAAGGACATGGCTCAGAGGTAGACTATTTGCCTAGCACGCACAAGATCCTGTGGAGTGAAAAAAAGTATCAATAAATGACACCCAAGTTTCTGACTCCAGACACAGGCAAATGATGTTAATGCTCACTGATAAAAAATGGTGAGGTGGTGTGAGCCACCTTTAATCTCAGCACTTAGGAGGCAGAGGCAGGCAAATCTCTCTGAGTTCACGGTAGCCTGGTCTACACAGAGAAACCCTGTCTGGAAAAAAAACAAAAACAAAAACAAAAAACACTAAAAAATGGCAAAGTGTGATGGCACACCCTGTAATCTCAGTGTCTGAAAGGCAGAGGCAAGAGCAAAAGGTATTCCAGACCAACCCAGGATACAAGACCCTGGGCATACACACAGACAGACAGACAGACAGACAGACAGACAGACACACACACACACACACACACACACACACACACACACAAAGTGTATTCTAAAATTCTCAACTGTTTTTGGTTCAAGAATGAAAATAAAAGCTTCTATTTTAACTTTTAGCTAATTTGATTGTAAAATAACAAAACTAATATAGCAGCTGCTCAGATGCCCAAGAATTAAAATGATTTGCATATAAATAATCTAAAACAAGCATTTGACCTTTTTCTTGGAGACAGAGTCTTGTTATATAGCCCTGAATAGCCTGGAATTAATTTTGTAGACCAGGCTAGCCTGGAACTCAAAGACATTAAAGGAATATGCCACAATGCTCAGCTTAAAAACATACTTGAAAAAATGATTCTAATTACAGATATTATCATTTCCAATGAATCAGTAGTAAATGTATCAAAAAGATGGGCTGGGAAGATGGTTCAGTGGGTAAAGGTGCTTGTCTTGCAAGTCCAATGACTCAAATTCAATCCTTGGAACCCATAGAAAGATGGAAAAGAATAAACTTCATCCAAAAGTTATCCTCTAACTTCTTCATGAGTGCTATATGGGTCATGTGCTATTCCAGCCTCACATACAATTTTTTAAAGAGAAAAGAAAAAGAAATCAAGAGAAAATACAATAGTGTACACCTGTAATCCAAGTAGAAGCAGTAGGATCAAAAGTCCAAAAACAGCCAAAGCTATACAGTAAGATCTCTCTCGGAAAATCAATGGGTTGGGAGGTAGACAGCAATAAAGTGATTGCTTAGTATACACAACGCCCTGGGTTCAATGCTCATCACCACAAAAAAAAAAGAAAGAAAAACAAAAGAGAAAACATTTGAAATCAAACTTTTTTTTTGCTACAAATATACCATGCTTCAGCTTCTCTATAAGTGCCTCATTATCATCCAACTTCAACTCGTTGACTTTATCTATCAGTCCTTCAATGTCACCCATACCTATAAGACACCAAAAAGAAAAATGAATAGCTAATAATATGCTCACCTTTACATTATGCAAAATACACTGGCATATGTAATAGTTCTGCAAGGCTGGTTAAATATTCTTACTATATTTTACATGAAAAGAAAAAAACTGATGCTAAGGAGGAAGAAACAAGTCATATATCAGAAAACAGCCCAGGGCTAACCTCCTAATTCCAGGCTCTCTAACTATACCAGGTTACGACAATAGAAAAGTTTTACTATCATTACAACTTCTATTACTATAACTACATATTTCTGTATTATGTGCTCAAATGCTTCCAATAACTCATTTTACCATTCTACCCACAGAAAATAGGTTAGAAGGCTGGGATGCAGCACAGCAGCACAAAAGGCCCTGGTTTTGATACCCAGTACTTTAAAGAAGCAGGGAATGAAAAGAAAGATAGAGGTTAGAATGGTAAGTCACAGAAGAAAATGGCCATCTTAAGCTAGTTAGTAAGCACAGGATTAACACCCTAATTTGCTCTAAGATCCATGCTATCTCAGAGATGGTTCTATAATTCCACATTGTACATACCAAGAAGTTTGCTGATGAAAGGCTGCGTTTTGAAAGGTTCAAAGTCATCTATATGTTCCCCTGTACCAATGAAAATAATTGGACTTTTTGTGGCAGCAACTCTACACAGAAAAAAATAAATAAATAAATAACCTCAAAAAAGAAAACAAATAGCCAGAAGAGTTTTCAAAGATAATTAACAAAAGGTATCAAATTCAAGTTTGTTTGTTTTTTTTTACTAGTTGGAATTATACTAGACAGGTTCCAAAATTCCATTTCTACTTAAATCTCTTTTATAGATCATTTATTACTAAAATATTCTTAAAAACAGAGTAAGAAACTCATAAATGTACACAAGATGCCATGGCACAGAACAAATGATTTACAGGGCAAAAGGTTTAGCAACCACGACAGGGAAACTTCAACTGATACTCACGCACTGAGAGCACCACCTCCTTTTGCATGACCATCAAGTTTTGTCACTATTACTGAAGCTACATCTACTTTATCTTTAAAAGCCTTCGCCTGCGCCTCGCAAGCCTGTCCAATGGATGCATCCATCACGTAAACAATGTTATCCGGTTGCTAGAAAGAATAAAAAGACTCGTTTTTTTACAAGTGGTAAGAAAAGGTCACCATGAGCATGTACATATTATTAAAAAATACTGACTGAGGGAGCACCATGAATTTAGTGGTATATAGGGCTTGGCTAAGAGGTTAAGTAAGAAAACCCTTGAGCCCATGATACATACAAGAAAATATGGTAACATCTTTGGAAATTATTCTGAGCAGAGGCCTGAATAAAGAAGAAAAGTTGCCTGGGGGTGGTGGCAGAGGCAGGGGGATCTCTGAGTTCAAGGCCAGCCTGGTCACATTTCACTATGTGGCGAAATGAGGACAAGGAAGAAAGAAGAGGAAGAATAAGAGGAGGAGGTTATGTAGACACCTTCTAGAACGACACCAAAGGCAAAGGAACAGTAAAAGTGACTCAGGAAAAGTACAAAATAGAAGGGTGTATTCTGAAAACAGAATCAGTAACAGACTGAGGCTGTGACCCTTAGATCTGTTCCCATTCCTCAAAATAATAGGAGCACTAAAAGGACACTAATTAGTACCAATTACTAGCAACATCCCAATGGCCAAACATGAATTTCTAATGTATGCAACAGGGGCTGAGCTACTTCCTACCTCTACATTATTTCTATAACTTTATTTTTGTTTTTGTGTGGAGGTTTGAATAACCTCATATATTTGAAGCTTAGCCATAGGGAGTGACACTACTTGAGAAGGATTAGTAGGTGTGGCCACATTGGATTGGTGTAGCCTAGTTGGAGGAAGTGTGTCACTGGGGGTGGGCTTTGAGGTTTGAAAAGTCAGGCTCAGAGACTTGCTGTCTTCTCCTGCTGCCTACAGATCTGGATGCTGCCACTTCTCCAGCACCATGGCTGCCTGTTCACCATGTGTCCCCACCATGATGATAATGGACTCTGAAATATTAAGCCAGTCCCAATTATATGTTTTGTTTTTTTAAGAGTTGCAATGAAACAGTGACTAACACCCAGGGTCTCACTATGTAGCCTTGGCTAGCCTAGTGCTAGATGTTACCATGCTGGCTTTGAACTCACAGAGATCCATCTGTGCTTCCTAAGTACTAGGATAAAAGGCATGGGCCACCATACCCAACTCATCTTTTAGGAGCTTTAAAGGAGACACCAAATGAAAATATATAGTGAAGACAAAAAATGATGACATTAAGTCCTTATCACACAGTTATAGATCCCCAAAACAGAAATAAGTTACTTAAAAGCTATCTTATAGGCAAGGAGTAACTTATATTCACCAAAATCTCAATCAGGTTTCATAGTTAAACTGACTAAAGTCCTTTAAATAATGTTCCATGGAAAGCTACTTACTATAGCATTAGAAACTTGAAGCATTTCTTCAAACAAAGAATCTTCTTGTTTGTGCCGACCACTTGTATCAACAATAATAATTTCAAAATTTTCATTTTTGAATTTATCCACTCCTTCAGAAGCAATGATGACAGGATCCATTTCTGTATAGCTATTAAACATGAACAAATGATTTAACACTATTAACACTAGGATGGGAAAACATCCAAATACTATTTACTCGGAAATTGTCAGTTTATTTTTAATCTATTCTGTAAAAGTAAAAATACTGTGTTTTCAATTTAGAAGAACTTCCTAATAAATGAAAAATACAGAAGCCATTTCTTTTCTCTTTTTTTAAAAAATTTATTTATTTATTTATTTGTTTATTTATTTATTATGTATATATGTATGCATGTATACGGTACTCTGCCTGCACACATAGCTCCACTATAGACCAGAAGAGGGCACCAGAACAGAACAAATTATAGATGGTTGTAATCCACCATGTGGTTGCTGGGAATTGAACTCAGGACCTCTGGAAGAGCAGCCAGTGCTTTCTCTGAGCCATCTCTCTATAACTGAGAAGCCATTTCTTTGGCATCATGAGGCACCACTGAACTTTTGTACAAAAGTCTACATTAATTCTAATGCATGTTTTTTCAGAACTGCTTCCTTAAACGTATTTTAGCATGTTCTTTAATAAGAGAAGTCATGCTACAAAGCATATTATACCTGCTTTCCCATTATTAACCCTTTGGTATCACTTTATTAAGTTATTAAATTGTACAGCACCTCCTCAGATGATGACATCATCATTTACTATGCACATCAAGGTTGGTATGTTAGTATCAAAAAGACATGAAATAAATACTTCTAAAAGAGTAGAGAGAAAGAATAGGGGCTGGAGAGAGAACATAGCAATCAAGAGCACAAGGTGCTCTTCCAGAGGACCCAGGTTCAATTCCCAGCACCTACAAAGCAGAGCTCACAACCATGTTTGCCTCCAGTACCTCTTCTAGCCTGCAAGGACACCAGGCAGGTATATATGTGGTACATAGACATATATGCAAGCAAAACACACACACGGAATAAATAAAGTCAAAATGGCAGCTATTAGCATTACTAGACATTATTTAATAAATCAATTAATCATTTTTTAAGATAAAGTTTCACTATGAAGCCCTGCCTAACCTGGTTATATAGCTCTGAGTAGTCTTGAACTCATGAAAATCCTCACCTCAGCATCTTTCTTTTTTCTTTCTTCCCTTTTTTTTTTTTTGGTTTTTCAAAACAGGGCTTCTCTACGTAACAACCTTGGCAGTACTGAAACTTGCTTTGTAGACCAGGCTGACCTCACAGAGATCCTCCTGTCTCTGCCTCCTGAGTGCTAGGATTAAAGGTGTGGGTGGTCATCACTCCTGGCCATCACCTCAGCATCTTAAGTACTAAATTACAGCTATAAAACTAAAATTTGTAAAAGATCTTCATAGAAAGTGATAATGAGCCAGCAGTTGTGGCGCACATCTTTAATCCCAGCACTTGGGAGGCAGAGGCAGGTGGATTTCTGAGTTTGAGACCACCCTGGTCAACAGAGTAAGTTCCAAGACAGCAAAGGCTCAGAAAAACAAAAAGAACATGACAATGACTACATATATACAGAGAGTAAGTTACATAAGTAATTATCATTCTAGAATTAAATTCCTCTTCAATAAAGTATACCACTGCATTCAGTTTTGTGGTATATGTATTTATTTAATCTTCTATATGTGTATGTATATAAGCATGAATAAATCATGGTGCACCTGTGGAGTCACAGCACATCTTGAAGGAATAGGTAGGTACTCTTTCTACCTTCAAGGCCCCTACCACATACTGTTAAATGATAAAGAATTTCAAGAATGTATTTCCTAGCATGTATTAATGAAGATGCTTCAGGTGTCTTAAAAAAAAAAAAAAAAGGAAACAATGCATGGTGACACATACCTTGTGAGCCCAGCACCCAGAAGACGTAGGCAAAGGGATCACAAATCAGAGACCAGCCTGAACTACTAGAGTTTTCCAGGGCAGACTGGACTAAAACTGAGACTGAGTCTCAAAAAGCCAGAAAGTCAAAAAGTCAAAAAAAAAAAAAAAAAAAAAAAAAAAAAAAAAAAAAAAAAGAAAAGAAAAGAAAAGAAAAATAGTAACCTACCTTCCATAGAATGGAATTCTTGCTTTTGTGGCATTCTGTTTCAGCTGGTCAAAAGCACCTAGGAGATAAAGAATCAATGAAGCCTCAAATGTAAGAATAAAAAGTCACAAAAAGAAAAATTTAATTTCAACACAATACCTGCTCTGAATGTATCTGCACATATCAAGCAGGTCTTCCAACCTTTTCTCTGGTAATAATATGCTAACTAGGAAAGAAAGATTAAAAAAAATAAAATATCAAAAAACAAATCATTTTATATAAAAACTTTTGTTTAATCTTATTTATCTAAGAAGTAAAATTGTTCATAATTCTCATGAATGCAATATTAAATATTTTGAAGCACAGCAAAAGTTCCAAAGAGTTTAAATTCTAATTCTCATTCAATGAATGTAAGATGATAAAGCAGCAATAATCACTGTTAAAACCATCACCCTTGCCCTTAAACTATAACATGGCTAAGGCTTGTGGGTGACAGAAAAAAAATCTAGCAACCAAGTTGGGAAACCCAATCATAGAAAAAAGGGTCATATAATGAATGAAAAATTAAGGATATGTAAAAGGTGACATCATGCACAGTGGGTCACTCAAAGGGGAATTTTGTGTCAAAAGCGAACGTAAATTCCATTGTTTTCTTCAATTAAAAAAAAAATCATGTGTGCATGCATGCTCTCCTCTCCTACACCCTCTCTTTTTCACTGTGTGGCTGTGGCTGTGGCTGTGGCTGGCCTGGAAGCAGCTACAGGACAGAGTGGCCTCAGCACATAGAGACCCATCCGCCTGCCTCTTCCTCTACTGCATCTGGTCACACCTACACTCTTTAAGGACAGGAAGCCCCTTTTCTTTCTCAAAAGAAGCCTGACTTCACATAATTGTTCACTGTTTGTGTTGAATGGTCTCATAGCTCAGGCTGACCTCAAGCTCCCTATGCAACGGAAGATGACCTTGAGATCCTGATCCCCCCCCACTCCCTCCAGATGTGCATCACCACACCTGGCTTAGAAGTCTAACACTCTGACAAACATGAGAGGAGACTAGAGGACTCCACTCTATGTCCTACAAAAATATGACAAAAGCAGAGAAGGGGCACTGAGTAACAAAACTATAAAACAATATAGAGATATTCAAATATATCTTCCATAGGAATTTTTTTAAGTGTATTACCTTTGAACATGTTGTCGTTTTACCACTCCCTTGCAATCCAACAAACATGATCACATTCTGCTTTCCTTTAGTTGGTGTCCATGCTTTAACTCCAGGGTCTACAAGCTGTATGCCAAAAATAAAAATGTCAGAATAACATGTGACACTCAAAAATCCTAGGACATGTAAATTATAAACATAGAGCTAAGGATGTTTCCATTTTATTGAAGCCACCATAATCCCAACATTCTTAGGCAACTCTACTAGTCCCCTTCATGCAGAGTGAAATTTAAGAGTTTTATAAAATACTGCAGTGTTGAATTCATACTCAGGCCTTTCATATCAAAGCAATTTAGAGGTAAGGAACTCATCTACATCACATATCTGTATCATCACAACTACATAAATATGAAACAAATGTACCTGGAGACTATATGAACTTCAAATTTGGGGACCAGTGGAATGGCTCAACAGGTAAAGGTGACCACCAAACTTGACAACCTGAGTTCAATCCCCAGGACCCACATGATGAAGGGAAACAGTCAGCTCCCTTAAGTTGCTCAACATAGTACACACTTGCAGACACACAGACACACACACACACTCTCTCTCTGTCTCTGACTGTAGCTTTTAAAATTTTATTATTTAGCATCTATACATTTTTTATTACACAAACATTATCACCTCACCATGAAATCCATATGAGATATTTTATATTTCTTTTCTCATATACCAAGTCCTCAAATCCAGCCAGTGTACATTTTTTAAATTCGTCTTGCCTTTTAAACAAAACAAAAAATTGCCTGGTACTGCTGGTGGTACACGCCTTTAACCTCAGCACTCAGGAGAGCAGAGGCAAGCGGTCTCTGTGAGATCCAGGTCAGCCTGGTCTACAGACTGAGCTCCATGACAGCCAGAGCAACATAGAAAACCCGGTCTTCAAAAAAATAAATAAATAAATAAATAAATAAATAAATAAATAATTAAAAGCTAATTTTGGCAGTAGGGATAGAAGGCAGGCACTCTGCCATTTATGTTTATCACCATCTCCCTCTTTGTACTTAAATTAATGTGTATTTCCTGCTCAAATAACTTTACAATTTAGTCTAGACACATCCCAAGTGCTCAGTAATCATGTGTCTGGAGGCTTCCATACTGGTTAATTTATGTTCTGTTTGACAAATGTATACATAAAACAAAATGATAAATGGCACCTTCTAATTCAAATATTAAAGTTTCTAATGCAAAAAGATTTATAAAATTATTACCTAAAGAAAGCAAGGGAAATAGCCGGGCGTTGGTGGCGCACTCCTTTAATCCCGGCACTCGGGAGGCAGAGACAGGTGGATCTCTGTGAGTTCGAGGCCAGCCTGGTCTCCAGAGCGAGTGCCAGAATTGGCTCTGAAGCTACACAGAGAAACCCTGTCTCGAAAAACCAAGAAAAAAAGAAAAGAAAGCAAGGGAGAGCTGGGCAGTGGGGGTGCACACCTTTAGTCCCAGCACTCGGGAGGCAGAGGCAGGCAGATCTCCGTGAGTTAAAGACCAGCCTGGTCTACAAGAGCTAGTTCAAGGATAGGCTCCAAAGTGACACAGAGAAATCCTGTCTGGAAAAACTAAAAAAAAAAAAAAAAAAAAGCAAGGGAGAAAAATAGAACTTTACAACAATGGGTTAGCGAGAAAGTGTCACAGAGGAACAGTTCTCAAACAAATACAAGGCTTATTTTCTTTTGTTTCTTCTTTGAGAGTCTCATGTTACCTAGTCTGGCCTGAACTCACTATGTAGCTGAGGCTAGTCATAGTCAAAAACACCTGATCCTCCTCCTCCTATCTCTTGAAGTCCTTGAATTATATTACTATTGTTATAGGTATGCACTACCATGCTTTATAAGTTAGTTCAAAAACATAATTCAAATTTAAGTCCATTTGAAGCTGAAATACTTATTTGTACATGGTAACTCCATAATCATAAACTCTAGACCAGATGTTTACAAACTAATAATCATCATCATCATGATTACTAACATTATTTGACTTAAAGAAGCTCTCATTCTGAAACCTAGTCTGGTTTGGAACTCAGCATGTAACCCAGGCTGCCCTAGAACCCCTGTTGCAGCTCCTGATGCTAGGATTACTGGGTGAACTGCCAAGCCTGGTGTAAATAAACCATTAGTGGAATACAGCTATGTCCATTCATTTACTCCCTTTGCATTTCATAAGCAGAGCTGAAGAGGTGCAATAGAGACTAAGTAGTTCAAGATTAATAATCTAGTCAATACCATCAAGGTATTATTCACCAGTTTCAGGGAAGACTGGTAAAGGGAAAACAAATCAAAACACACTTTCTTATCCCTTTTCCAAACATGTACACAATTTTGGAAAAACTTCTGAAGCAAGCAAAATCTGTCTTAAAACAAATTCACCTCCCTTTCTCCTATATCTTTTCAGTATAGAAAGGCTGCCCTGCATTCACCTCTGTTCTATATATTCATGACAGAATAACTCAGCTATCATTACTGAACATTTTATAAAGCTATCTTCTCATCCTCCTATACTCTTGAAACAAGTCTTCAACCTTGTAGTATGAAAACTCCTTTAGGAGCACAATCATTTGTAAGGGTTGGCTGCAATGTGCAATCTGAAGTCATATAAACCTCCAGTCTGCTGCACTGAAACTGATACTCTCCTATATTTAGCACAGATAGTATCCATCCTCATGTATGAATCTGTAACACCATGCATTTAGTCACTTAAAGCACTGGTTTACTGAATTATACAAATCTCACATTATCACTCATTTCATTAAACAGTAAAAATCTTGACACTATCAGTACTAATTTCATCAGGAAAAAAGTCAGGATTCTTTCAAACTCATGTTAGAGATACAGCTTCTACTTTTTTGTGTGGGGTTGGAGATTCAAACTAAAGTCCCCTAGTTCATATATTTTCACATATAATTTTATCTTGAATTTTATCATCAGCTACAATATTGTCAGTTATTTCCTTAAAGTGACAAGTTAACTTCACTTTGGTAAATAATTCTGCCAAATTAAATCCAGGTCAGAATAACCAGATTATATGCATATTGCTTATTTACTTATAAAATGGTGTTCAATGCAAGCAGAACTTTAGTTTGCAAATGAGCTGAGCTTTCAGAGAATTTGAAAGTACAGCACAGAAGTACATATACTTCCCATTTAAAAATACATATGCATAGTCAATGGTCACAATTTAATACAATTAATATCTACTGCTTTGTGAAGTGAAAGCTGGCATTTTAAGTGTTTGCTGGTGAAGTGTACAGTCACTATGTTTTTTTGTTTGTTGTTTGAGACAGTCTCAATATGCAGCCTGGCTGGCCTCTAACTCATAGAGATCCAGCTGCCTCTGCCTTCCTATTTCAATCTTGTTGGAGGAAGAGATTTAAAACTTATTTGGTAAAAACAGACAGCTGAACGATTCTGCCATGATTTATAATGAATGGAGGAGAATGCAAAGAAGGGTCCCTACACTCAAAAGACCTGGGGAGGAAGTAATAGATTAAGGGCATGAACCACCATGTTCAGTTGGTGTTACTGTCTTGATTTGATAGCAAGCTGTCATGCTGCAGGATATGTTATCACCCTGGGAATCCTGAGACCATATTATTTACTAGAAAAACCTGTTTCTAGTTGTGGTGTGGCTCAGTCCTAGCACACACCTTTAATCCAAGAGCTTTCTGCTTGAATATTGTAAACAGGGTTAAATGAAGTCAACCATAAGTCAAGAGGTGGAGCAAGTAACCAGTTGACAAGAAGTGAACATAGGATTATTAAGGAAAAAAACCCCAGACAGTAAGGGGGAGTCAGGACTGAGAAAGATGAACAGGAAGTAGAAGGGAAGAACATTCAATTTGAGGAGTTGTTTGAGACAGAGAAAAGAGATGGCTTCTGGGACGTCAGCTAAGGAGGAAGGTCAGGTGGGTGCTTTCTCTGCCTCTCTCAGCTAGCAGGCTTTCACCCCAGCATGTGGCTCCTCAGTATTTATTGGTAAAATCAAACAATTGAGATTTTGTTTAAAACAACACTGTCAGGCTGTATAGAAAAGGCAGAGAGTGGGAGCCAGAGGTATAGTTCATGACAGAGCATGTGCTTCACATGTAAGTTCCTAGGTTCCATCCCCTGCAAGACATAACTAGAGTAAATAATGCTTTACTATTATTATGTAAGTTTTAACTTAGCTTGCATACACACTGTTCTAGACCATAAGCTTCTCTGAGATAAGGACAAGTGTTATCTCTGCTGTCCACTTGGCATACTGCCTAGAATAAAGAAGCTACTCAACAAATGCTTCCCAATCTAGTTCTTGATGCTTCAGAGTTGATAATTCTTATAAAGGACCCAAATTCACTTTCCAGCACCTACATCAGGTAACTCACAACCACTTGTAACTCTAGCTCCAAAGCCTATGACACTCAGAGGCATCAGAGATCACACACACATCCACAGACAGACACACACACATACAAATATGCTTTTTCAAACAATTTTTATCTATTTTGTTTTGTTACAATTAAAAAAAAAAATAGGGTTTCTCTGCATAGCCCTGGCTGTCCTGGAACTTGCTTCTGTAGATCAAGTTGGCCTCAAACTCAGAGATCCACGTGCCTCTGCCTTTCAAGTGCTGGGATTAAAGATGTGCGACACCACCAGCAGCAGCTCATTAGTAATTTTTTAAATATTATACATTTTATGTGTGTTTTGCCTGCACATATGTATGTACCATGTGGTGCCTGTGGTGACCAGAAGAGGGCATCAGATACCTTGGAGTTGTGAACGACCATGTGAATGCTAGGAATTGAACCCAGCCAGGTCCTCTGCAAGACGACCAAGTGCTCTTAACTGCTGAAATACCTCGACATACTCACACACACAAATATTTTTTAAAGTAGCCCTCCCATTTATTTTTTTCCTAACTTTTTTTTCTATGTGTCTGCTCATGTCTCACAACACACACATGAAAGTCAGGGAACAACTAGAGGAGTCACTTCTCTCCTTCCACTACATAGGTTCCAGGATCAAATTCAGGTTGTTAAGACACCTTACCAGAAAAATATCTTGCCACCTCAAATTTGTATTTCAATACAGACAAATTATCCATATTAGAAGGGACTCAAAAGCCGTGTTCATTTAAAATCCTATACATTTTTATCCATTGAGTTGAAGGAATCATGGCATTGATACCCTTTTACCTTTACAAGTTCTTTAAATACAGCATGTTGGATCATTTTTCTTTTGTTCAGACCAGATGCCATCTCTTCAAGATCAATTGCAGACCTTCAAAACAGTGACAATTGGGGTAAGAAATCAGTTAAGATAATCCAAAAGTATTTCTATCCCATAAAATGTAAGAGTATTCAATCATTCACATTAACAGTCTAATTAACATCCATATAATTATTATAGATTCATAAGATTATACCACAAAGAATTATATCATAAAATATTAGGTATAAAACTTTGGTTAGTTTTCCAAGGCTTTCAGTTCAATGCATAAATACTAATTTCTCTGGATATAACAATAAAATATTAATCTTATTTTTCTTGGCGCTTATAAATGTTATACAGAGAATCACACTAACGTTCTAGTTCTACTTTTTTGGGGGGTGTTTCGAGACAGGGTTTCTCTTTGGCTTTGGAGGCTGTCCTGGAACTCACTTTGTAGACCAGGCTGGTCTCGAACTCACAGAGATCCGCCTGCCTCTGCCTCCCGAGTACCAGGCTTAAAGGCATGAGCCACCACTGCCCGGCTAGTTCTAAATTCTTAAACACCACTAGTTCTGTATCTTCTCCCAGACTATCAATGCAGAAAGAAGGAATGTTAGGATTGGGATTCAAGAACTTATTAGAGGTGCCTATATGGTTCTAGATGCCCCACCTATATGCCTCTTCCAAATGATATAGTAACAAAGACCATAAAGTTCTCCTTCAAACAGGGACAGAGAAACCAAAATGGAGAACAAAAGAGAATATAATTCTTCAATCATGAAGAAGGCTGGTTCATATAATCTTACCACAATTTCAAGAATTTTAACTGAATAGTTAAAAAGCTCTTACATTAAAATTGTATCCCATTTAACTATAATAAATGACAGAACCCATCCAAATAAAGAAGACAAGAAAATCTACAATGAAATGAAGTTATCCTTGGTTTGTTCACTGAGCCATCATTATGGAACTACATAGTCGTTCTAATACTCTTCTTCCATCCATCTAAATCTTTCAGCCAAGGCTGACCCAAGACTTATTATATAACTAGGGCTGGCCCTGAACTCATGAAACTTCTCTTGCCTCAATCTCCAAGACATGAGCCATCACACCTTGTTCCACAGGCAGTTTTCTGACACACGAGTTCTATATTATTCCAGTGCTGCACAGAAGTATTTCATAATAAAGCAAACTTTCCTAGTTACCACCTCAATCCCAGTAAACCAAACTTAGTTTGTCCTGTTTTTAACACAATTAATTCAACTTACTTAACATTTTCTCTTAGTTGCTTCACTAGTTTAATATTAACATCTGCTTCCAATAATGCTGTACATACTTCTTTTAGCATAGCATTTAATACCTGAAAATAAATAAAATTGAAATATGATCAATGTTTTACTTCAGCAACATAAAAACAACAATTGATCAGGTATCAGCAATACCACACTATTGGAGGTGAGAAAAGATTTCCAATTACCTTTGGAGAAAAAATAATATTAAATACTCAGTCATATCAAAATAGGGCATGGTGTTTAGTTTTACACAGGTATTAATGACCAAGTATTAATCATCACAATTTTACTCTTATATTAAAGCATTAATAATAAAAGCAATACTAAGCCAAAGAAAGTTACTAAAACAATAGATAATGCCCATGATTTTTCCTAAATCACTGAAGAATTTTGATGCCTGTATGGCAGAAGACAATTACACAGCCTTACAATTTCTACATATCAAGAGAAAAAAAGTAGAAAAGGGGTCTTTTTCCACTGAAAATTCCCTGTCACAACAGTGTCAAGATGCAGGCACTGTGGTTAGAAGGTCATGAAGTATAAGAACTTTATGAAAAGATGAAGCTTCACAAAACAGAAGCATGGACAGCAGAACAGAAGCTGCATAAGAGGAAGAATTTCTGCCTGTTTTGCTTCCTGCTTTACCCTTGTTCCAGCAAGATACCTGCAAATACAGGCCTTAAAACAGGCATTGTTCTTTGGACACCCTTCAGAGACCTATGAGGATTTTCCAGCCCTCATCACGGGGTACCGACTAGAACTGATTATCTACCAGAGGGATCTATTTTGGTAAATTTGCTAGTGGAACACCAAGGCTAGAAAACTTGCCAACTCAGAGGTGGTCATTCCACTTCTACCAAGTATTTCACACACTGACTTACCAGAGCCCCACCCCACCTCAGCCTCACTCTATAGCCCTGGCTGGCCTTGAACTTGCCTCTATCCTCTTTCCTCTACTTCCTCAGCATTGGGACTACGGGCATATGTCATCACATCTGGCTTCCTTTTTCACTACTATTTTTTGGGGGGAGATATTAAAAATAAATAAATAAAAGATTAAAAAAGGCCTCACTATGTAGCCCAAGTTGATCTTGAACTCAACCTTAGATTCTCCTGCCTCAACCTTCTGAACACCAGCGCATAATTTAAATTTGTCATCTTTTTCAGACTGTTTCTTCATCAGAATAAGAATAAAGGCTCTACAACATGAATGTTGTTCAGAAAGCTGCTGTTTTAGTTATTGTGGATGGCAAGACTAGGCAATTTGTGATTTAATATTAATAAGAATTATTAGAGAAACCTTAATGGAAGAAATCAGGGGAAAAGATACTCTTCCAGTAAAGAAAAATCTGAACTATAATAGTCTCGTTTCTTTCTTTATTTGCTTTTTTTTTTAATTTATTTATTTATTACATATACACTGTTCTACCTACATGCCAGAAGAGGGCACCAGATTGAATTGTAGATAGTTGTGAGCCATCATGTGGTTTCTGGGAATTGAACCCAGGACCTCTGAAAGAGCAGTTAGTGCTCTTAACCTCTGAGCCATCTCTCCAGCCCATAGTCTAGTTTCTAAGATGGTCTTAACATTGTTTCATTAGTTTTTTTAAAGTACTAATATTAAATTCTATATTAGAATTTTTTCTGAAACTTCAAACGTAGAAAAGTTTTGGACACGAGCTTAGTCTTTAATGGCTGAGCCATCTCTCAAACTCAACTTAGAATACTTTTAATGTATTGCTTCACTTAATTAAAAAAATTCTTAAAGTAAATGCTATTTTCACATTTTACAAACTAAAGGATCTACCCACAATTCTATCGCACAACTATGAAATTAGCCAGGGATTTTAACATGAAACCCAGAACCTTTTCATTGTTATTATAAACTAGAAAGAATACCATGGACTATAATCATCTGCCTTCGAATAACAAGTCATTAACAAACATTGGCAGAAACAAGCCATTGAGTAGATAGGAGAGTGAGAGATACAATATCTTAAAACTTATAGCCACTGAACTGGAGAACTGGCTCAGTGGTTAAGAGTACTTTCTGTTCTTCCAGAGGATCCAAGTTCAGTTCTGTCATGGTGTGAATGAGAATGGTCCCCACAGACTCATATATTTGAATGTCTGGTTCCCAGTTTGTGGGGTGTTTAGGAAGTGTGGCCTTGTGGAGGAGGTGTGTCACTGGGTGTAAACTCTGAGGTTGCAAAAGCAGACTCAGTCTGACTCTCTCAGCTTTATGCCTGTGAATTAGATGTGAGCTCTCAACTACTGCTCCAGTACATGACTGGAGCCATGCTCCCACCATGATAGCCATAGACTCTACAACCCTCTGCAACTCTGAGCCCCAAACTAAACTCTTTTTTTTTTTTTTTTTTTTTTTTTTGAGACAGGGTTTCTTTGTGTAGTCCTGGCCTTCTTGGAACTCACTCTGTAAACCAGGCTGGCCTTGAGCTCAGTAACAGACAAGTAACCGAGACAGGTTCCTAGCAACTACATGGTGGATCACAACCAACCATTCATAACCCCAGTTCCAAGGGATCCAATGCCCTCTTCTGACTCTGTGCATCAGGCACACACCTGCTGCACAAACATACACACAGGCAAAACACTCATAAATTAAAAACACACACAAAATTTTTTAAAAACACACATAACATTAAATAACTAAATCTAAAAACAAAAAAACAAAAACGGAAAAAAAACCCTACAAACCCAGAAAGACTATTTCAGGTATGATAATGGTTTTGGTTATGATTTGTCCATCAGAATCACCAGAAAAACCTTCCTTGAGGAAATAAGGGAGAGAAGCTCTTCCTTCCTAGCTTGAACTGCCTCAGCCTCCCTATAGTATGTGCTGCCACACTAGGCAAAAATGCTACTCTTTTATATGAAGAATGGGGAATGAAAGATACAGGAAAAACAGATAAACACATTTCTACCAAGGAGAAAGAAGTGCTAGGAACTTTTAGGTCTATGTTGAGACAGAACAGCAAGCTACATTTCCAAGATTCAAGTATTTCAAAAGCTACATTGTTTTGCATATATATAATGACAGGAGAGATGGCTCAGTGGTTAAGAGTACTCGCTGCTCTTCCAGAGGATCCAAGTTTGAGTTCAGGCACTTAGGCAGCTCACACCCCCTGAAATTCGATCTCTGATACCTAACCTCTTCTGGCCTCCCTGGGCACCTGCACTGGTGTGCATATAACCTCACACAATTATAAATAAAAAGGTGCAATAACAGGATAGTTGATTTTTCAATAAATGCACTGCTTACTTGTAGGGGAAGCTGTAGCCACGCCTACTTAGGGGCTGGCTACAGGTGTGCCTGACCACGCTTTCGAGGGCGTGGTCAGGGTGACGTAGAGTGAATGCGTTTTCTCTTTCGGTTTCACTTTGGTACTGTCCAGCAAGACTGCTGCCATGCGGCTGGCTAGGTCGCTCTGTAAGTAAGGCTTTTCCCTATTAAACACTCTTATATTTCTACCTGACTCCGTATTGGTAATTTCCCACTATACTTACTGATGCGTTTTCTCTTTCGGTTTCACTTTGGTACTGTCCAGCAAGACTGCTGCCATGCGGCTGGCTAGGTCGCTCTGTAAGTAAGGCTTTTCCCTATTAAACACTCTTATATTTCTACCTGACTCCGTATTGGTAATTTCCCACTATACTTACTGTTATATTTACAGTATTAAATCTACATCAAATCAAATCCACAACTCTAAAGATCATTATTTAGTTCCACTCTCTAATCCTAGTAACAATGTACCAGCACACGTTTCTTCCACTATTTACATACCTCTTCATTGATAATGGTGGCATTGCTCAATGAGCGTAATGCTGATGTTATTTTTCTTCCAAGATCTGCTAGAACCATCTTGAAGGTTTTAAAATGTACTTAGGACTCTAGAAAGAAAAAGAAAATATTAGTTGAAAACCATTTCTCATTAACTCCTAACTGAAGAATAAAAAGAATATTTAAATTCAAATTAAAATACTCCAATGTTTAAACACTGTAATTTCAGCTTCTATGCCTAAACCTGCAATTTTAATACATTCATGTCCAAAAGGTAAAAAAGGTTATTTGGTTATAATACCTTCCATTTAAATATCTGATTAGAGAATCGCAGACATAAATTGTCAGATTTAAAATATCAAATAATACTGGGTTGTGGTGGCGCATACCTTTAGTCCCAGCACTCCGGAGACAGAGGCAGGTGAATCTCTCTAAGTTCCAGGCCAGCCTGGTCTACAAAGTGAGTTCCAGGACAGGCTCCAAAGCTACAGAGAAACCCTGCCTCAAAAATAAGTGATAGATAGATAGATAGATAGACAGACAGACAGATGGATATATAATATCTGTTGAGGAAATAAACATGTGATCTTTAATGTTGTTGTCTCTCTGGCACATGCTCATGAATATGAGTCACTGAATGCTAAGCCATGTCCTCTTGCAAATAAAAGTGAACTCTCCGGGAAAGGTGCTTAACTCCCACACCATAGAACTCCATGCTATTCTGATTCTAACTCTTAAGCAAAAAAGAAAAAGGAAAACTACCTTAATTCACAAGTCATCTAACTTTTCTAGCACAAAACAAATCAACTGCTGAGTCATTAACTATATGAGAGCCACCCACTAACTCCCACTGGCTCACACCTTTAATCCCAGCACTTGGGATTTAGAAGTAGATGATCTCTGTGTTAGAAGCCAGTCTGATCTACACAGAGAATTCCAGACCAGCTGGGGCTACATAGTGAGACTCTGTCTCAAAAATAAAAAATCACATTATTTTATTCTTCTAACCACTAAGGAAACAATTACTCTTCCCATTCTAAAGCGATTTCCTGATTTCTTTTTTCCCCAAGACAGGGAAGGCTTCCTTGTGTAAGCGTGGCTGTCCTGGAACTTGCTCTTTAGACCAGGCCTGCCTCTAGCTCCCATCCCCCACTACCACCACTGATTGTCTAACTCTAAAATACAGTAACCTCAAAAATCTTTCCCTTAAGCTAGGCATGGGGTATACTTCTGAAGTCCTAGCACTTGAAAATGTGGGAGCAGGAGGAACAGGAATGAGTTGGAGGCCCGGCTGAGTTATATGAGACAGTCTAAAACAAACACAAAAGTAGAAATAGCTTTCTAAAAGTATACAGATATACTGCTACACGTAAGGACCACAGAACTCACAGAAGGTAAGTAAATATGATTAGTATTGCCTGCCCCCAACATCCTTTATTTACCAGCTGGTAAGGCAAGATACATGAATGAACAGCAGAATAAATGCCAAAACAAATTCCTCTTGCCTAACTACAAAGTAGAAAATCACCTCCTGTCTCTGGAGCCTGTCATGTTACCTTTGGACTGAAATTACAACATTAGCCATCAACCTGCCAGCAACACCTGCCGAACTGTAGACTTGTCTGCCTCCATAACTGCTAATTCCTAAAATTCCTGAAATATGGACAGACTAAATAGGTGGGAAAGAAGACAAAAGGGAATTTGATAAGTATGAAATGGAATGAGCAGAAATGCAAACATGGGAAAAGCCATAGGGGCTGGTAACAAGGTATTATAGTCAGGGAGAGCACTATACAGAAGGAATAAAAGTTTTAAAGGCTTGAAAACAGTCTGATATAAAAATAAGACTAATAGAAACTGGGCACAGTGGCTCCCATGTTTTTAATCCCAGCATTCCAGAGGCAGAGGCTCTGTGAGTTCAAGGCCAGCTGTCTACATAGAGAGGACAGGCAGGGCTAGAAAGACCCAATCTCAAAAAAAAAGAAGGGAGGGAAGGAGGGAGGTGGAGGGGGAAGAAGGGGAGAGAGAGAAAAAAAAGAAAAATGGGTTGGAGAGTTGGTTCAGCAGTTAAAACTTAACTGCTCTTCCACAGGACTCGAGTCCAATTCCCCATTAACACTTAAAGCTGCTCACAACTGCCTGTAAAGCCATTTCCAAGGGAGTGAGGAACCCTCTTGTGACACACTTGTCTCACACCGGTACTCACACCAATTGCAAACACTGACTCAATTCAGACACAGAACCCTCTTGTGACCCTCTCACACCGGTACTCACACCAATTGCAAACACTGACTCAATTCAGACACATAAATAGTAAAAAAAAATTCTTGTTTCACTTTTTTTTTTTTTTTTAAATAAGGGGCTCGAGATATGGCTCAGTAGGTAAGAACACTTACTGCTCTACCTGGGTTCAACTCCCAGCACCCACATGGCAGCTGACAACACAAGTCACAACTGCATCTACTCCAGTTCTAGGGAATCTGGTGCCCTCACCTGGCTCTTCCAGCACCAGGCATGCATGTGGTGCACACACATACATGGAGACAAAAAAAAAAAAAAAAAAAAAAAAAAAAAAAAAAAAAAACCATAAACATAATAAATAAAAAACAAAGTTACTTCAAAAGGAAAACAGTAAGAAAATAGCTAATGTACTTGCCATGGGTTAACTGAAGAGACTGAGCTTAGGGGAGTTCAAGATGAAGAAGGAAGGGAAATGAACTCGGCCTAAGAATAGAAAGCAAATCTCTCGGGCTGAGTAATTAGTAAACAATACATTCCAAGCAAAATGTAATAATTTGAAGTTAAAAATAATTGCTACTTCCAGGTGTGATGTTGGATACCTTTAATCCCAGCACTTGGGAGACAGAGGATGGGAGATCTCTGTGAGTTCCAGGCCAGCAACATCTACATAGTGAGTTCTAGGCCAGCAAGGTCTACATAATGAAACACTCTAAATTTTAAAAATAATTAATTAATTAAAAAATTAAAGCTAGACATGGTGGTGCAGACCTTTAATCCAGCAGAGGAGACAGAGGTAAATGGATCTCTATGAGGTGGAGGTCAGCTAGGGTGATTCAGTGAGACCCAAAATTTAAATTACATTTAAAAAGTTTTAAATTATTGCTGACATGATGAAAATGAGAAAAGTTTTGCTTACCTTAAGGAAAGGTTTTTTGTTGTTGTTTTGTTTTTTTAAGGTTACATGGTTGTTTAACCACTTCATGGAAAGGATTCAAGATTTATTTCTTATCCCATATACAATAAGCTAAATCAATGAAGTAAGTATTTTTCATGGAAGAAGTGGGATGTTTCTATTCATCTCCTTTTATCACTGTTACCAGGCATGATACAGTTCTATCTGTGACACCACAATGGACATGTTAAGACCACATCATAAACAGACCATTCTTCATTTAAAAAGGTTAGATTGTTAATTGTTATCCCAGCCCTTGGGAGGCAGAGGCATGTAGCTATCTATGAGTTTAAGACCAGCCTGGCCTACAAGGCATGGCATATTCTAGGGCAGACAAGGTTATTAAAAAAATAATAAAAGTCTAATTTTCCATACTGTAGCTCTTTTTTGTTTATTTGCTTTTGAGACAGTTTCTCTACATTGTTGGGATTAAAGGTGCCATGACCAGCCTGTTGTGGCTCTTTTAAACTATTAAAAAAAAAAAAAAAAGGGAAGACACTTGTTAGTCATAAGGAAGACCTTGAACTTCTGATCTGCCTCCCTTTACTTCCCAAGAACAAAGATTATATGATGCTGGAAACTGAACTCAGGATTTCCCACAGCCCAAACAGATACTCACTATACTCATCAAACAACATGTCCAGCTTACCTAGGTACCTTTAATAACACATCTTAGAAATACTTTTTTTTTATAAAAATCTGGACTTCAGGAGAATCATGAATTCCAGGACAGCCTAGGCTAACAGCAAGTTCCAGGCCAATCTCAGCTAGTGAGTCACTGTTAAAAAAAAAAAAAAAAAAAGTGGTGCATGCCTTTAATCCCAGCACAGCACTTGGGAGGCAGCTCTCAGATCTCTGAGTTTGAGCACAGCTAGGCTATGTAGAAAGAAAGAAAAGAAAACAATTGCTATATGACCCAGAAATTCTACTCCAACATATTTATCCAAGAGAAAGCAAGATATACATAAAAATAAATCATGGTTCAGTCACAACATAATAGCTAAAAATAGAAACAACCCAAATATCCCCTCAACTGATGAATGGCTAAGCTGAACATGATGGAACCATATACTAGGCTATTAATAGACAATAAAAAGAAATGAAGTACAGGACATGGTATGACATGGATAAATCTTGAACACATTATGCATAAGGGGTGACATCAGTCATATAAGACCAGATACTATCATTTCACTTACAAAATACCCATAGTAGACACATCTACACAAACAGTGTGGATCCACAGTTGCTCAGAACTCAGGGAAATAAAACGGAAAGTGACTTACTGCTAGTAGGTATGATGTTTCTTCAATGGGTGATGGAAAAGTTCTAAAACGGATTGTGGTGGTGGCTACACATTGCTATAGATTCATTTAAAACCCCTCAAACTGTACAGTTCAGGCAAACTGATAGTGTTAAGAATCATATTTCATGCTGAGAGATGACTTAGTTGGCAAAATGGATTACGGTGAGGGGCTGAGTTTTGGAATGCAGACCACAACACACAACTTTTTGTTTGTTCGTTTGTTTGCTTGGCTGGTTCTTTTTGAGGCAAGCTTTAATGTATGCAAGGTTGGTCTAAAACCCGTTATGTACCTAAAGACCTTGAATTCCTGATCTCCTGCCTCTAACTGCTAAATGTTGGGGTTACAAGTATGCACCACCATACCTGGAAATAAGTATTATTTTTTAAGATGTATTTATTTTTACTTTACATGTAGAGGGTTTATTTGCTTACATGTATACTGAGAGCAAGCACACTTATGCATATTATTTTTTAAATCAAGAGAAAACTTTTCCAATATGCTTCTTTGTGAAATACGGAGCTTATGCTATTAATATATAAACTAGGAGTTCAATTAGGTGTGATTTGTACTCATCCATCCATCCATCCATTAAATACCTACTATGTGCTCC